TGACACACAGAGAGAGACACCAGAGACACAGAGAGAGAGAGACACAGAGAGAGACACACAACAGAGACACACACAGAGACACACAGAGACACACAGAGAGAGCACAGAGAGACACACACAGAGACACACACAGAGACACAGAGATACACACAGAGAGAGACACAGAGAGAGACAGAGAGAGACACACAACAGAGACACACAACAGAGACACAGAGAGACACACAGAGAGAGACAGAGAGACACACACAGAGACCACACAGAGACACACACAGAGACACACAACAGAGACACAGAGACACAGAGAGAGACACACCAGAGACACACACAGAGACACACAACAGAGACACACAGAGACACAGAGAGAGACACACACACAACAGAGACACACACAGAGACACAGACACACACACGAGACCACAACAGAGACACACACAGAGACACACAGAGACACACAACAGAGACACGACACATACACAGACACACAACAGAGACACAGAGACACACCAGAGACACACACAAGACACACAGAGAGAGACACACAGAGAGACACACACAGAGACACACACAGAGACACAACATAGACACAGAGAGAGACACACACAGAGACACACACAGAGAGACACACACAGAGACACACAACAGAGACCACAGAGACACACAGAGAGAGACACACAAGACACACAACAGAGACACAGAGAAGACAACAGAGACACGACACACACGAGACACACAACAGAGACACACCGCAGAGACACACAGAGAGAGACACCAGAGAGAGACACACACGAGACACAACATAGACACAGAGAGAGACACACACAGAGACACACACAGAGAGACACACAGAGACACACAACAGAGACACAGAGATACACACAGTGACACAGAGAGAGCACACACACAGAGAGAGAGACAGAGAGACACACAACAGAGACACACAACAGAGACACACAGAGACACACAGAGAGACCACACACAGACACACAACAGAGACACAGAGATACACACAGAAGAGACACACAGAGACACAGAGAGAAGACAGAGAGAGACACACAACAGAGACACACAACAGAGACACAGAGAGACACACAGAGAGAGACAGAGAGACACACACAGAGACACACACAGAGACACACACAGAGACACAACAGACACACAGAGACACAGAGAGAGACACACACAGAGACACACAGAGAGAGACACACAGAGACACACAGAGACACAGAGAGAGACAAACAGAGACACGACACACACACAGAGACACACAACAGAGACACACAGCAGAGACACACAGAGAGAGACACACAGAGAGACACACACAGAGACACCATAGACACAGAGAGACACACACAGAGACACACACAGAGACACACAGAGAGAGACACACAGAGAGACACACACAGAGACACACACAGAGACACAACATAGACACAGAGAGAGACACACAACAGAGACACACAGAGAGAGACACACACAGAGACACACAGAGACACAGAGAGAGACAAACAGAGACACGACACACACACAGAGACACACAACAGAGACACACAGCAGAGACACACAGAGAGAGACACACAAGAGAGACACACACAAAGACACAACATAGACACAGAGAGAGACACACACAGAGACACACACAGAGAGACACACACAGAGACACACAACAGAGACACAGAGATACACACAGTGACACACACGAGAGAGACACACAGAGACACAGAGAGAGAGACCAGAGAGACACACAACAGAGACCACAACAGAGACACACAGAGACACACAGAGAGAGACACAGAGAGAGACACACACAGACACAACAGAGACACAGAGATACACACAGAGAGAGACACACAGAGACACAGAGAGAGAGACAGAGAGACACACAACAGAGACACAAACAGAGACACAGAGAGACACACAGAGAGACAGAGAGAGACACACCAGAGACACACACAGAGACACACAACAGAGACACACAGAGACACAGAGAGAGACCACACAGAGACACACACAGAGACACACAACAGAGACACACAGAGACACAGAGGAGACACAGAGAGAGACACGACACACAACAGAGACACACACAGAGACACACACACAGACACACACACAGAGACACACAAGACACACACAGAGCACACAGAGACACACAACAGAGACACGACACATACACAGAGACACACAACAGAGACACACACAGAGACACACAAGAGACACACACAGAGACACACAACAGAGACACGACACACACAAACAGAGACACGACACATACACAGAGACACACATACACAGAGACACACAACAGAGACACACACAGAGACACACAGAGACACACACAGAGACACACAACAGAGACACGACTACACAGAGACACACAACAGAGACACACACAGAGACACACAGAGACACACAGAGACACACAACAGAGACACGACACATACACAGAGACACAACAGAGACACACAGAGACACACACAGAGACACACAGAGACCCAACGCCTCTGTGTCGAGAGAGAGGGGGGGTTTGCTGCAGCAGAGACATTGTTAGCTGTCAATGACACCCCCCCCCACACGTGACCCCCCCCCCTCGCGTGTGACCCCCCCCCTCGCACGTGACCCCCCCCTCACACTGACCCCCCCCCTCGCACGTGATACCCCCCCTCACGTGACCCCCTCGCACGACCCCCCTCCCTCACATGTGATACCCCCCCCCCCCGCTGACGTGACGTCACGCGGCCACGTGGGAGCCAGGAAGTGGTCACGTGGTTGGCTTTGCTGCTGCTGCCGCCATCTTGATCTGTGGTGAGACGTTCGTTTTGTGGTTGTTGTGGTTGTTGTTGTGGGGGTGGTAGTTGTTGTTGTGGTTGTTGTTGTTGTTTACCAGGTACAGCCGCGCTGCTTCTTTGTTTCGTAGGGGGGACGTCGAGTGAGTTGCACAGCTGTGGAGTCGATGTCCACGTGGTATCGTGAGCACGTGGCAACAGCAGCAGCAGCTTGTGTGTGTCAAGGCCACGGGAGGGCTGCTGGTTCTTGCTGGAATTCTCACGACTGATGACGATTGCTTGTGTTGTGAGCATTTTTATTTTACCTTTTTAAATCCTTTATATTAAGTTCACTTGCTTGCGCGCTTACTTACGACCGTGCAAATCTTTCGGTCGTTTTTTAACCCTCTTCCCGTGATCCAATCGAGCTGACATGTTGCAACACACTCGTTGTGCGAGACAACTTTTTTAGGAAAATGTTTTTTCATATTTAATTTAAAATAGCAATGTGATAAAAATGAAACTTTTTACTCAAGAAAAACAGAAATGAATAATAAAATAAAACCGATGCCACGCATATAAAGGATTTATAGTGAAAAACTTTGTTTTTACGGGTTAATTTTTTTCAAATTTTCTTGCTGTGGATTTCACACCTGATGATGATTGCTTGTGTTGCAGTCGAAACGCCGTGAGAATTTTAATCGGATCGCTAATGGCTCTGATGATGACAGTTGCTGTGAGAGTTGTATTTACCTAGCTACAATGCCATTGGTCAGTCTAGTGAATGGGCGGCACAGATGCTAATGCAACAGCAATGCCATTTCGAGGGTGTGGAATTCATCCTGTTATGTACGAAACTTGAGAACCCTAGCTACATACAATATCTGCTGCAAGTTTAATAGGGCTGAACATTGAAAATGTCTAAGTGTACAATGATTGCGATTACCATGTCTCTATAGTCGTGGTTGAAGAGACATTGTAATGTTTTTAAACTATTTTATCTTTTCCTGTAATTTCTTGAAATTCTCTTTTGGCTGGTTAAGTAAAGACATGCCTTACAATGGCTGCCCATAAAAAAATTGTTTTATGCATTTGTTTTCTGGCCATTTGTTTTAGTGGCCAGGTACTGGGCCGATTCTGCTGCGAGACCCGAGTGTGTGCTTCGCCGGGGAGAGATGTAAAAATGTAGGTGAAGAATGAAATAAAAATTAATTAAAAAAAAGAATAAAATCACGACGTTTCGGAAGCAACACAAGCTTCCGTCTTCAGGTGAAACTGTCACCGCAAAATATCTGTTTCACCTGAAGACGGAAGCTTGTGTTGCTTCCGAAACGTTGTGATTTTTCTATTTTTCTTGGTTCTTTCGGTCAAGTCGTCACGTAGAAGGGAAGTAATAAAATAATAAAAATAATATAAATAATTTTCACGACGTTTCGGCCACAACGCAAGCAGCCGTCCTCAGGTGAAAACCAGGTCTGTCGAGGAGACAGCGTCTGAATGAAACAGCACACGAGCTTGGAGCATATATATAAGCTGGGTTGGGAGGGGGGGAAAGGGCGCTTCGACAAAATAATTTGCATATCAAGAGGAATTTAGCATATTCATGGGAAATGCAGGAATGTGATTAGTACTACTTATGCCCGTGCATTATGCAGGATTAGCAGCATCAAAGGGAGGGATATGGGAAATGCAGGTAAGTGAATAGTACTACTTATGCCCGTGCATTATGCAGGATTTGTGATTTATGCAGGATTTGTGATTTTTATTCTTTTATTTTAATTTCATTTTTTACCTACACGGTGACTGTACCGAGTATGAATCCTTGCAGTCGCGAAAGCTTCAAATCTCCAAGATATCAAAATGGACGAGCAGTGCATGCATCAGGACGGTGAGGAGCTGCAGCAGCAGCAGCAGTCTCCAAACAATCGGAAGGCTCCTTCACTCACCATGCAGAATGCAGCTCAGTCTGTGCAGCAGTATCCTCCTGCCTTGGCAGAGGCAGCAACCCAGACTTGTCAGTCTCCACAGGCTCAGCCAGTTGAGCACACCCCACAAGTGCCTAAGGTGTCCTGGCAGCAGTCAGCGAGCGAGTGGAGAGGCGGCTTCTGATACGAACTCCCAAGGTGATCACTTTGACTGCCCCTTGTTCACACACACGTGCTGTCTAGCTATTAAGACACATTTGAGGTTTTTGTAAATTATATAATTTCACTAATAGGGGTTTTCCCCTTTTTTCTGGCAACAAAACTGACACCTTTTGCAAGGAATAATGCTTACATTAACCACAATACTTGCAGTCAAATGCAAACAAAAACAACTCTGATAATTTGCATTGTTTTTGAAACTGATTGGTCCACACCAGAGACAGCTTTCTTTAGAGCCTCGTCTCATATGGTTTTCGACCAGATGACGCCAAGTATTGTGGTTAATGTAAGTATGATTCCTTGCAAAAGGTGTCAGTTTTGTTGCCAGAAAAAAGGTGAAAACCCCTATGAGTATATTTTGGTACTGGCAAAGGAGGTCCCATGATGACGCCTTTTGGCGTCATCTGGTCGAACACCATATGAGACTAGGCTCTAAAGAAAGCTGTCTCTGGTGTGGACCAATCAGTTTCAAAGACAATGCATAAATTATCAGAGTATTGTTTTTTGTTTGCATTTGACTGCAAGTATTGTGGTTAATGTAAGTATGATTCCTTGCAAAAGGTATCAGTTTTGTTGCCAGAAAAAAGGAGAAAAACCTATTAGTATATTTTGGTACTGGCAAAGGAGGTCCCATGATGACATCATTTCAATGTATTATTCTGAAAGAAATTGTCCCTGCGTGTACTCGCCTTACCTGTCCGCTTTTGCCACTTAACCAAATCCTCAGGCTGCGTGAAAGTGGTGCACGACATGCTGATGACTGCAAGCAACTGTGGCAGCAATTGGCCATCCGACCAAGAAGACATATTTCGCCTCCTGGTAAGTTACCTGCTTTCGTTTAAATTCCTCGCAATCACATGTCACAATAAGCATTTCATGTTTGAAAGAATTTGCTCTGCGGTCTGTATGTATGTAGGTGCATGGGAGAGAACATTTTGAAATATTAAAGAAAATCAAGGAAAACCTGGAGCTAATCCGAACGCTGCCCACGGATGCCAATGTGTTGCGCAACCTGCAGCAACAACAGTACGTGAACACGAAATAGACAATCGTTGCTCTTGCGAGAGAAGTTCCCGATTGCTGCTGTAATTAAATGGTAGCAACAGAAGGGAAGTAATAAAATGATAAAAAATAATAATTCTCACGACGTTTCGGCCACAACGCAAGCAGCCGTCCTCAGGTGAAGAACAGGTCTGTCGAGGCGACAGCGTCTGAATGAAACAGCACACGCGCTTGGAGCATGTATATACGCTGGGTTGGAAGGGGGGGAAGGGCGCCTTGACAAAATAATTTGCACATCAAGAGGGTTAATTTTTTGGGTTTTTTCTCCCTCCCAGATACGTGACGGAATTGCGTGGCAGGCCGTCCAACCTCAGCCGACACGGCAGCGAGTGTTCACAGGAAGTCTTGGCCGGCAGCCAGGGACCCTCCAGTGCGGGCGAAGGTTCCTCATCAGGTGACGCAAGCTCTCCCTGCTCGGCGCAGCACATTTCTCTGTACGGAACGTGGCGGCACGCGGTAGAATTGAAAGACGTGACATAATTTGCCACAAAGTGATACGCACTCTTCTTGGTTCTTTCGGTAAAGTCGCCACGTAGAAGGGAAGTAATAAAATAATAAAAATAAACACGATAAAATACAATTCTCACGACGTTTCGGCCACAACGCAAGCAGCCGTCCTCAGGTGAAGAACAGGTCTGTCAGACGCTGTCTTTCCGACACACCTGTTCTCCACCTGAAGACGGCTGCTTGCGTTGTGGCCGAAACGTCGTTAGAATTATTTTATGATTTTTATTATTTTATTACTTCCCTTCTACGTGATGACTTTACCGAAAGAACCAAGAGGATGAATTCAATATTACTCGTATATGTGTTGAGGTGTAAATGGTTTTATTGCGAATGCTCATCCACTGGTTGCAGGCGTTGCACAGGATGTTGTGACGGGTGAAGCGAGTGGATCCAATGGTCCCCCACGGCCACCGGACGGAGACAACCCACGGGCCCGGCTTGGAACCCTGCCGGACAGCGGCAAGCCTGGCAACGCTCTTTACAAGTAAGTGCCCTTTAGGTGCATCATCGTCGCCACCTTTGAACATCGTCGTCATTTTTTGATTTAAAGCTTTCGTGACTGCAGGGATTCATCTTCTTGGTTTTTTCGGTAAAGTCACCACGTAGAAGGGAAGTAATAGAATAATAAAAATAAAACATAATAAAATAATATAATAATATATTAAAATAATATAATAATGTTGCTTTCCTTCTACGTGACTTTACCGAAAGAAGCAAGAAGATCGTCATCATTCACGCTCTGAAAAAAATTACAAATAAATGAAAGGGATTCTTTGCTGAAATAACCTTTTCTACTCTGAGACATCTCTTTTAGCGGTGGCAAAATATAGTAGTAGGTTTTTACCCTTTTAAACTGGTACAAAACTGACACCTTTACACAAGGCATCATACACCTTGAGACATCTCCTTTACCAGTGGCAAAATATAGTGATAGGTTTTTACCCTTTCAACTGGTACAAAACTGACACCTTTATACAAGGCATCATACACCTTGAGACATCTCTTTTAGCAGTGGCAAAATATAGTGATAGGTTTTTACCCTTTCAACTGGTACAAAAACTGACACCTTTATACAAGGCATCATGTTTGCAATGACCACAACGCAAGTAGTCAAAAATGCCAACAAAAAAAGCAACTCTGATAATGATAATATGCACTGTACTACTAAACCTTTTCTACTGTTGCGTCTGCACGCTCCATTCTTTTTCATGATGTATCACTGCTTTATTTAAATGGCTTATCCTTGACGTATTCTACACTGCAACATCTTCCCTAGTCACTGGGTAGGTGGGTCGGTATCGGCCTCGGATATTCTGATGAGCACTCTACACTGCATTAGATATTTTTAGTTGACTTGCAGTGTTTATAACACTCCTTTATTATATACGAGTCTGGGTTCTTCAAGTGTTTAGTTTGATCGGTGTATACTCGACTACAATACTTAAGTCGGTGGGTGAATTAAAACAAAGCAAAGTTCATCTTCTTGGTTCTTTCGGTAAAGTCACGTATAAGGGAAGTAATAAAATAATAAAAATAAAACATAATAATATAATATATACATGATAAAATAATTCTCACGACGTTTCAGCCACAACGCAAGCAGCCGTAACGTCGTGAGAATTATTTTATTATGTTTTATTTTTATTATTTTATTGTTTATTTTATTACTTCCCTTCTACGAGACTTTACCGATAGAACCAAGAAGATGAATCCCTGCAGTCACGAAAGCTTTAAATCGAAAAGCAAAGTTCGTAATGCAGTTTGGGCTGATTTTTGCACTTGGATTTCCAATAAAAAAAAGTCATTATTTTCCATAGGGATATACAGTACAAGCAATGTAAGTGTTGCTTCACATGTTATTTCTAATCGCAATGTTTACGGAGTAAAAATGTGCAAGTTAATGTAATTCAGCCGTACAAAGTACTTTTCGTGCTTCTTGTATTTGGTATTAACATTTTGGAGCCTTGTGTGTGTGTTGTTTTTTGTGTCTCAAGCTTCCTGAAACAAATAGACTGCTTGGAGTTTTTGGAGAATTTCACTTCACGTGGATTGTCGAGTGTCCAACAGCTGATGAACGTCACTCTGCAGGCAAGTTCCTACGGACGCTTTCACGCAAACTACGCGTGTTTTTTAACGAATACAGGATTGGGATTTATTTCTAAGTTTTTCTGCAACATAAAAAAATGCACAAAGAAGCTTGGAGAAGATGGAAGGTTGGAATTAAACTTGTAAAGAGTTAATGCGTGTGTAGGTGAGGGTGAGTGGTGAGGGTGAGTGGTGAGGGTGAGTGGTGAGCGTGAGTGGTGAGGGAGAGGGGTGAGTGGTGAGGGAGAGGGGTGAGCGTGAGTGCTGAGTGGTGAGGGTGAGTGGTGAGGGTGAGTGGTGAGTAGTGAGGATTGTAGTGCCACAAGAGGGGGCTCTGGGACCCTAGGCAGAGAAGCCCTTGGCGGCAGGCGCTAGGATCCCAGGCACCCCAGACAGCTAAGCCCCTTGGTGCCACCAGGGGGGGGCTGTGTGTGCTCTGTGGGATACCTGGGGGCGCACACAACCCCACCCCTCGTTGGGCACGAGGCATAAAAGGGCAGCTCCCTGGCCGATCAGGGCCAGTCGCAGGTCAAGACCCGCCAGCCAGCTTAGGACCCTGTACCCCCTCGTCCCGCTTGTCCTTGTAAGGGCCGGGACGCTGTGAGGGCCAGTGGTGGGACTCTGGGACTCCCGGCTCTACGTCCTTGTGAGGGCGAGTTCCGAGGAAGCCAGAGTCCAGACCCGCACCTTGGCTGGGTCGGACCTTGGCTGGGTCGGGTCAGGTAGCCTCCCCTAGGGGGATTGTAGCCGGAGGACCCCAGAGCATAGCCAGAGTAGTGTACCTAGGCAGTGTACCTAGGCTGTGTACCTAGGCTGTGTACCTAGGCTGTCTACCTAGGCTGTGTATCTAGGCTGTGTACCTAGGCTGTGTCGCTAGGCTGTGTACCTAGACTGTCTACCTAGGCTGTGTACCTAGGCTGTGTACCTAGGCTGTAACAGAGTATCAGGACTGTTGGAGTGTTGTATTGTAATAAAGAAGTTACCTCTACAAGTGTCTCCGGAACCCATTACACGTGGATACCGAAACATGCAAATAAGAAACATTGACAACTGCAAAAAAGTAGATGGGCTTCGGCAAGGGAACATCACTGGACTGCATTGGAGTGGCATCCAAAGTAGAGCACACATCACCAAGAGGATGACCACCACAGAGATTCGAGTTGTGAGATTAGTTCGTGTGTAGTTGATAGATGGATCGTCACATAGCTCGAGTGAGGAGGCTGAGGAGTCCTGATCCAGTAGTGGGTACAAATAAAACACATTCCTCCTGCGGAGGGAGCGGGTAGGAACGTTGGGTTGCTCGGTCAATGGCCAACTGTGAGGGCCGGGCACAAGCCGTCGTGAGTAGGTTAAACGTTGAGTTTTATAAGGGCACCACGGGGTGACCAGCCCCTCCCCACCCAGCCCCACCCCACCCTCCCCACCCAGCCCCTCCCCACCCTCCCCTCCCCACCCAGCCCCTCCCCACCCTCCCCTCCCCACCCAGCCCCACCCCTCCCATTTTTGGATGCACGATGGACAGACACAATCATCCCCTGTGGGCTGGTGGAACCAGGTGGTTCCTACCGGTAATACCGACTGATTTTGTACATTAATTGCTCTGAGGAATACACGTCGTCAGAAATTTGAAGAATGTTGTATCGTACACTATGGGAACCTCATTTGCCAGTAAAAATATCATAATTGTTTTTTTACCCTTCTATCTGGCAACAAAATGACACCTTTTTACAAGGAGTCATGTTTGTATAGACCACAATACTTGTCTCGGGTGTGGACCAATCAACTTCAGGGACAGTGCATACATTATCAGAGTTATGTCTTTTGTTTGTATTATGACTGCAAGGTATTGCGGTCTATGCAAACATGACTCCTTGTAAAAAGGTGTCAGTTTTGTTGCCAGATAGAAGGGTAAAAAGCCAATTATCAATGTTGTATCGCTGAACACAAGTTGGTGTGTGTGTGTGCATATTTTTTGTATTTCGCTGGATTTTAGGACTTGGATGAACTGGGAGTCCCAGAAGCCAAAAAGCGACTGCTATTGAGTGGAATCGAAGAGCATGGCGTGTCCACCACGATCTCCAGCGAGACGACGCTGCAGCGCTCGTCCAGTGAAGAGACAGTCCACCTCAGCTCCGAGGACGACGACGATGACGGCATCGACACCAAGGACGGCATCCGTGCCAAAGTGTTCCCAGCGCTGCGGCCCTCTGGCAGTCATCTGTCCTCTGTCGGCAATCGGTATCGCAAAAGCAGCATTGCCAAATACAATTTGCGAGCGCACGCTCGCCAAGCCGTTGACTTTCCTCGTTCTCGCAGCTGGGGAGGCAGTAGCAGCCTGGAGGTGCCCAGGAGCAAGATGCCAAGATTGTCTTCATGCTCTGACATCGAAGAAGAAGAGGGGCTGGAGTGAGAGAGGAGGGGGGTGAGCGATAGATGGATGATGGTGGGAGGTTGTGTGGGCCATGGGTTGCACTTTGTATGAAAAGCCCTTGGGGTAAATAAGCTGGTGTCTTTCGATTGAAAGCTTTCGTGACTGCAGGGATTCATCTTCTTGGTTCTTTCAGTAAAGTCACGGTCGACAGACCTGTTCTCCACCTGAGGGCGGCTGCTTGCGTTGTGGCCGAAACGTCGTGAGAATTATTTTATTATGTTTTATTTTTATTATTTTATTATTTTCCTTCTACGTGACTTTACCGAAAGAACCAAGAAGATAAGCTAGTGTCGTTTCACTCGCAGTTTCAATAACTTCCTTTGAGCTTCTTCTTGGTTCTTTCGGTAAAGTCACGTAGAATGGAAATAATAAATAGTAATACTTTTTTTTTTATAAATTAATTCTCACGACGTTTCGGCCACAACGCAAGCAGCCGTCCTCAGGTGAAGAACAGGTCTGTCGAGAAGACAGTCTGTTTTTATTTATTATTATTTTATTACTTCCCTTCTACGTGACTTTACCGAAAGAACCAAGAAGATGAATCCCTGCAGTCACGAAAGCTTTAAATCGAAATTCCTTTGAGCTTGCTTGCATAGTTTTTTTTTTTCCAGAATGCAGTCAATAGAATATAAAGCAGCATCTTGGCTTTACTACCCAAGGCAGGAACTTGTCTCTTCCAAGAAAGAAGTGAATGACTTGTCAGTTTTGTTCCTTCTTAATTTTGGAGCTTTCGTGACTGCAGGAATTATTCTTTGGTTTTTTCGGTAAAGTCACGTCTAAAGATAAAACGTGCCGTTTAGTCATCTGGAGTTGAAATATACAACACGTTTTGTTTCCGTGCAGAGGAGATAGCCATGTTCAGAGAATGTGCTTTTTTGTTGTGTTGCATTTGCTCGACTGTTGAAAGATCGTTTCAAATTTGCATCTTTGGAAGGATGAACACGAAGTGGGAAGGTTTTTGCAAAATCAGATGTTCTCATACTCCAGAAGATTGTTGTACGGGGCCTGTCTGCTCTCACCTACTTGATAACAACCCCAAAAATGCCTAAATAAAGTTGATTTGTGACATGTTCCATTCTGCAAAGTTTTATAGACTTTGCTGCTGGTAGCAGATGTAGAGAAACAACACCTGTCTACACTTAGTGTTCATGGAACTGTCTTAAGCGTATATATGCAGTGGGTTTTTTTAAAATCCATTATATTAAGTTCACTTGCTTGCTTGCTTAGGACCGTGCAAATGTTTCGGTCGTTTTTTAACCCACTTCCCGTCATCCAATCGAGCTGACATTTTGCACACAGACTCGTTGTGCGTGACAATTTATGTTCGTGAAACATTTTTTCCAAATTTTACACTTTTTAGGGAATTTTTTTTATAAATATTTAATTACCAATTGCTTAATGGTGGCAGGCAATCATCTGACCCATAGGTGGCAGCCATCTCAAGCCAGAGGACAAGGACTCTAGTCGCCACGCATATAAAGGATTTAGAGTGAAAAACTTTGTTTTTACGGGTTAATTTTTTGTTACAGGTAGGAACAACAGTTCCCCACCCCACCAGGGATTATTTGTCTGTCGTGCATAGCCCCTCCCACCGTGTAGCACGCTCGCGGATTGGTTGAAGTGCGTCACGTGACCGCGAGCTTTCTGCCCAACCAAGTTCCTAGCTGGCCACTGTGAAGGAACGTGATTGTGCTGTGGATTCAGAAACCCGAGTTTGAGGGTGACGTCCGAACTGCTGATTGTTTGGGCTGACCACTGGTGAAGTACCCGTCTGGTCACTGTCTGCATCTTGGAGTGGATTGAACAAGGGCTGTTGATATTATTGAGCTTTGATTAAAAGCCAAAAACCTTTAAAGTACAATTTGAGGAATTGTTTTTCTGGATAAACCACTCGGAAAAAATATATCCAATGTTTGAGTTTGCATACGGAGCCCAAAACCACGTGTACGTTTTGCAATGTGCTTTATATTTTGTAGCAATCACTGCCTTTCATGTAAACTGGTACCAGGTGCATACAGCGCATGGAACGTTCAATTCGAATGTGCAATTCCCTGGAATAGCTACAGTAGTGATTTGTTTACACAAGTTTTGACAATAAAAAAAACTCTCTTTGAACCGTTAACACGATCTTTTCTGACGGTGTTTTTTTAATCCAACGTGGCGCGATAGAAATATTTTATTTGCCTTCGTACACGGGTTGATATTGACGGAGCACAGGCGAGTATCACTTTGACGCTGTGGTGGATTGAGAGCAGATATTTGCGTCGGGGGTAGCTGAGCGAATCGCCGCGTGGTAATGATGCCTCCATATGTGTCAACCGGGATGTTCTGTTCTGGATCGCAAACAACAAAGCACCTAACACTCACACACACAGACTCCTACACACACCTAACACACACACACCTAACACTCACACACACCTAACACTCACACACACCTAACACTCACACACACCTAACACTCACACACACCTAACACTCACACACCCACACCTACACTCACACACACCTAACACTCACACACACCTAACACTCACACACACCTAACACTCACACACACCTAACACTCACCACACCTAACACTCACCACACCTAACACTCACACACACCTAACACTCACACACACCTAACACTCACACACCTAACACACACACCTAACACTCACACACCCTAACACTCACACACACCTAACACTCACACACACACACTAACACTCACACACACCTAACACTCACACACACCTACACTCACACACACCTAACACTCACACACACCTAACACTCACACCCTACACTCACCACACCTAACACTCACACACACCTAACACTCACACACACCTAACACTCACACCTAACACACCTAACACTCACACACACCTAACACTCACACCAACACCACTCACACCTAACACTCACACACACCTAACACTCACACACACCTAACACTCACACACACCTAACACTCACACACCTAACACTCACCACACCTAACACTCACACACCTAACACTCACACACACCTAACACTCACACACACCTAACACTCACACACACCTAACACTCACACCACCTAACACTCACACACCTAACACTCACACACCTAACACTCACCACACCTAACACTCACACACACCTAACACACACACACACCTAACACTCACACACACCTACACACACACACCTAACACTCACACACCCTAACACTCACACACACCTACACACACACCTAACACTCACACACCTAACACACACACACACACCTAACACTCACACACACCTAACACCACACCTAACACACACACCTAACACTCACACAGGTGACTGATGGATGAGGGGAGCGGCGCTTTGTAAACTCGCCTTCATCGTCTCCCTCGCCGACTCGCCGAGTGTTTGTGTTGTTGTTGTTGTTGGAAACGTCCCGACGTCAGATTGAAGCTTGGACGGGCGAGCCAAGGGAAGTCCAGCAGCGGAAGAAACTCGTCACGTTGCAGACACCGAGTGACGCGTACCACGTGACAGAGACGCCAACTCCCACGTGCCCTTGAATGCCCCTTCTCGGTTTAAGCGGCGCCCGTTCTGCACGCACAAAAGTGTGATTTTGATGATGAACGAAGGTGCAACGAATAAATAGAACCCGGACGACGCCGTGGCAAATCGGAGTTCTGTCTGCTGCCAATTCTCGTCGGCATCTCTCGCGCAACGCGGATCGCACTGCGCGCGTTCCTCGTCCGTGCCGGCCACGCGGTTGATATCGGCAATAACGACGGAACGAGACACGGAGCGAGATAAAATAGCCGCCTCCTATAATTTACGCTTCAACTAAAAAACAAGTATAACCCGTAAAAACAAAGTTTTTCACTATAAATCCTTTATATGCGTGGCGGCTAGAGTCCTCTCGTCCTCTGGCTTGAGATGGCTGCCACCTATGGGTCAGATGATTGCATTGCACCATTAAGCAATTGGTAATTAAATATATTTTGTCCTAAAAAGTGTGTGTCATGTGTGTGTCAGGCTGTCAGTGTGTGTGTCAGTGTGGCGAGGGTGTGGTGCAGCGGTTAGCGCGCTGCACTACGAACCCGGATCCCCGAGTTATATTCCCGCTCACGGCCAAAACCAGCGACGATTACCTGAACCGGCACTGCGCCTCCCCCGGGTCGACTCAGCCTCAAATGAGTACCTGGTGCGGTGTGTAAACATCGCCACTGGGGAGATAAAGGCGGCCGGGCGTGGTGCTGGCCTCCCACCCCCTCCTCCACCGTTCGGGCCTTATAGGTGCTCGCTAACAGCACTTGCCCCAACAGCCTGTGCAGGCTACACGGGTGATCTTTGTCTTTGTGTCTTTGGCGCGCGCCCTCGTTGCCTGCGTCCCCAGAGACACTGCCTCCTCCTCCACGATCGGCGTCGTATTGCGCCTTTTGGCGTCATCTGGTCCAACCCATGTGAGACTAGGCTCTATGGAAAGCTGTCTCGGGTGTGGACCAATCAACTTCAAGGACAGTGCACATTATCAGAGTTATGTTCTTTTGTTTGTATTATGACTGCATATTGTGGTCTATGCAAAAATGACTCCTCGTAAAAAGGTGTCAGTTTTGTTGCCAGATAGAAGGGAAAAAACAATTCATATTTTTACTGGCAAATGAGGTTCCCATGGAATAAAATAATTGTTTCCCTTCTACGTGAGTTTACCGAAAGAACCAAGAATATAATCCCTGCAGTCACGAAAGCTTTAAATCGAAATGTAGCTTGACGTAATGTGTTCCTGTCTATTGCGTTTAATAAACACAACGCACACACGCGTAGGAGACACCCGTGTCACTGTCATGCTATTGAAGGGACGTTTAATCTCTTAAACGTGAACACGAAAATCACCGACAGCAATAAACAATAAACAACCAATAACACTGGTCAACAAAATATAGATAAACACATTGGCGATAGGGCAACACTCGGGCGGATAACGCATTGATGACACTGGTCAACA